CATGCTACCAAGATTCTGTTTGGGACAAAGAACTTGAGAAACCAGTTTGTCAAAGGTGACAGGACCAAATGCAGTGATCTCAGACAGCAATGAGTGTCTGAAAGAGGATGAGTTGAGAGGAGGAGATAGGTCCTCTATTTAAAGGCTCTGATTGACCATGAGGCAGGATCTGCCCAAGAGGGCGGAAAGTGAGGGAGAGTGCAAGAAAGTTGGCAACTGGAGGGAATAAAACAGAGCAGGTCGAGGACCCCCCAGCAATATCTGTCTCTCCCACCCATTTCTATCTTCTGTTCAACCACTCAGGCAGCTGAACTCTCCATCAAGTTTCTACCTCCCCAACGCAGTCTGGAAGTAGTTCGGGCTGTGGGACCCCAGCTGACTGGAACTGGAAAGCACGGTGCAGTAAGTAGCGTGCTGGGACTGAACAGAAATAGATTGCACAGAGATGGGTGGAAAGGTGACACCTGCACTCAGAAAGCTGCATGAAGTGGGTCTCCTGGCAGGCATGCATGGCATGCATTTCTGTTTCCCCAGAGTTCCCAGAGAGTTCCCAGAGGGGAGACTGGGGAGGGAGGGGAAAGATGATCTCCAGTCTCTGACTTTCCACTGTGCAGGCTGCAGAGCTCTATCTGAACCTGGACCTCGTCAAGGAAGCGATCGATGCTTTCATTGAGGGTGAGGAATGGAACAAGGCCAAGCGTGTGGCTAAGGAGTTAGATCCCCGGTAAGTTCATGACCCCTTCTCACTAGAAATTCTCTTTTACTTCCTTTTGTAAAGATTGGGAGAAAGTTCTCATGGGAAGGGTGTGCATCCCAGGACCATGAAGTGCGAGATCTCTGCACATCTTCACAGGTATGAAGACTACGTGGACCAGCATTATAAAGAGTTCCTCAAGAACCAGGGCAAAGTGGACTCGGTGAGATTGGCAGAGTCAGCAGGAGTCAAGCTCAAGAGATTCTCTCTCTCCCCTTCTCTTCGTGTAACTCTGTCTCTTCAACTGATCCGTAGCTGGTGGGTGTGGATGTGGTGGCTGCTTTGGACCTCTATGTGGAGCAGGGCCAGTGGGACAAGTGCATTGAAACAGCTACCAAGCAGGTACTCCTCTCTTCATCCCACTCCCAGCTCTTCTGTGTATTTTTCTGACTCCCCACCTGTCCCAGAGCTGTCTCTCTTACTTCCTCCAAAGCCCAAACCCCAGAGATCCCTAATCAGCGTCAGAGAGCTCAGTCTTCACACTCTGACAGTGGGGTCAGAGGCCTAGCTGGGCCTGGCTTGCATATGCCCTTGGCTGCCTAAACAAATCCATGGCCTCAAGTCACCACCCCACCCTCACTGCTTGGTCTTACTGACCCCAACCTCCCCTTGCTTTTCCTGCACCCCTGGAACAGAACTACAAGATTCTGCACAAGTACGTGGCTTTGTATGCGACTCACCTGATCCGAGAGGGTGGCTGTGCCCAGGCACTGGCCCTGTATGTGCAACACGGAGCCCCTGCTAACCCACAGGTATCAGCCGGCTCCTTGGGGTGAACTGTTTCCTCAAGGAAATTCTTACCTTCTCCTCAAGAACCACTCACGCCCTCAGGATCTGTCTTCTCAAAGGATTCTTTCATTAGAGATCATCGTCCCCAGGGACCCCACCCAGCCTCTTCAGGAATGTACAGCCTCTCTAGAGGATTTACCCTTGGAAGGAACACCCAACAACCTCCCCGTGCTCTTAGCTAACACGCAGGGAACAGTCTTTCAGAGATGAACCACACACACCTCTAGGGCCTTCCTAACTTCCTCCAGAGCGAGCACCGCTCTCCTATCTGGGCATCACAGCTCTCCGGACACTGTCACCCCATTAACAGTGACTGCACATTCACAGTCCCACATTTGCCCACACGCACAGAGCGCCAGATAGGAAGAAATCGCTTTTTCTTGCCCTTCTTCTTCCTCTTCTCTTAAAATAACACATTCTCCAGCAGCGTCCCGTAGCTCCTCCGCGTGCGCGCACATTTACAGCCGGTTTTCCTCTTTGGCCCCACCTCCCCTGACTTTCTCTTCTAGTTGCGCTCTTCTCACTCAGCTCTCCTTCCCGCTCCACCTCCAGAACTTCAACATCTACAGAAGGATCTTCACTGACATGGTGAGCTCCCCTGGGACCAACAGTGCCGAGGCCTATCACAACTGGGCTGACCTTCGGGACGTCCTCTTCAACCTGGTGAGGAAGTCGGGTGGACCGCAGAGCAGAAAGGCTACTCCGCCTGTCCCTGTCCTCGCCTTTTCTTTCATGCACATAAACCTTCACCCTCGGACTCTACCTTCCTCTGTCCAGGTGGCCATCAGTTGACCACTCTGGCCCTGGCACTCCTCTGACCCCTGACCCAGGTTGTGCACTCTCCCTGCTCTAGTGTGAAAACTTGGTGAAGTCCAGTGAGGCAAACTCTCCAGCCCATGAGGAGTTCGAGACCATGCTGCTGATCGCTCACTACTATGCCACTCGCTCTGCAGCCCAGAGCATCAAACAGCTGGTGAGACAGAGTGCGGAGGAGCTCTCAGTCTTACAGACACATCTTCAAATGTATGAAGTTGAATGAATTCAAGTTCTGGACGGTCTCAAGCTTGGCCCACTGCTCTCCTAGTTTCTCTTTACCCTTGCTGAGATGGTTTTCTTTGTATTCCTCTGACCTTCTTAGGGCTCTGTGCCCACACAGCTCCAGCCTCATTACGCTCAAAACATTCAAATTCCATGCTTTCTGCATTGACCTCTTATAATATATACATACCTTTGGCTTATCCATGATAGTATATTGTATATTTATTTCCTGGAGTTGGACAATAGAATTCTAGAGGTGGGAGGAAATTTAGAAATAACCTAGGTCCAGTTCTCTTGTGCAGATGAAAAAAAAACTAAGACCCAGAACTGCATGACCCAGAGCAATTCGATACTGACTGTTGGTCTTCTGGTTCTATGGCTGCCTTAGTTATAAGATCATTGGTCTGGCAGCTCAGTCACATAGTGCCGGGATCATAATGCTTTGACTTTAATCCATAGGAAACTGTGGCTGCCAGGCTTTCTGTTTCACTCTTACGTCACACCCAGCTACTACCTGCAGACAAGGCCTTCTATGAAGCAGGCATTGCTGCCAAGGTGAGCAATGGGGCCAAGCAAGGGCGGGGCCCAGGAGAGAAGGAAATCAAAAGTTGCAAAGTAGGAAATCCCAGCTGCTCAGGTAGAGCAGAGCTGAGCGTGGGGCTGACGTTATGGAGGAGATCATTTTCCTGTATCTTCCTGGGTTCTCCCCGCTGCATCCTGGAGAAACACAGCCATGCCCAGCTGCTCACTCCCACTTGCACCTTTTCTCTGGTGCAGGCAGTTGGCTGGGAGAACATGGCCTTCATCTTCCTCAACCGCTTTTTGGATCTGACCGATGTGAGTAGGGCAGTTGTGCCCAGAGGTTGGGAGGTTTTCCCTGTGCCTATCTCATGGCTGCCCACTCTGCCACAGGCAATTGAAGAAGGGACTCTCGATGCCCTTGACCACTCTGACTTTCAGGATACAGACATTCCCTTTGAGGTGCCACTCCCAGCCAAGCAGCACGTCCCGGTAAGGGCACAGGATTGGAGAACAGGAGGCCTCAGGAGTGTGAGTGCACTAGAAAGGGATGCCACTTTAGGATGGTCCTCCCAACACTTTGTAATGGCATCAGTCAGCAAAGTCTCTGGAAGGGCCTCAGCCCTCACTGTTCGTTCAGTGAAAGTAGAGGCAGAGGAAAAAGCTAAGGCTGTGACTGTGACCGCCAATCCAAGGAGGATCGTTTGTGGGTGAAAGGTGGTGCACAGGATGACGGCTCAGCAAACCCTCTACCCACCACCTTCCACTTGCCCTGCCCTGCCTGAAGCTGCTCCGTCCTTCCCAGGAGGCTCAGAGAGAAGAGGCTCGAGACTGGGTGCTCACAATCTCAATGGACCAGCGGTTGGAGCAGGTTCTACCTCGGGATGAGCGCGGTGTCTACGAAGCCTCCCTGGTGGCGGCCAGCACTGGAGTTCGGGCACTGCCCTGCCTCATTACAGGTACAGAACCCTACTGCACCCCATATTCTGTGATGGGTGGAAAGGAGGGAAAACAGCAAGATCAAGAAACTGTTTTACTGTGATTCAGTAAAGGATGCAGAAGACAAGAACATCCTACTTTCTACCCCTAAATTGCTCTGCATTCTTCCCCCTCAATCCATCGCAAACTCCAGTTTATCTTTTTTTCTCCCCCCACCCCTCCAGGATACCCCATTCTGAGGAACAAAATTGAATTTAAGCGGCCAGGGAAGGCAGCTAACAAGGACAACTGGAATAAGTTCCTTATGGCCATCAAGGTTAGAGAGGAAGGCTTGAGAGATGGGGGTAGGGAGAACAGCTCTGAAGAACCCACCAGCAACCGTGCAGGGTAGGGGAGGTGTTGTCAAGAGGGCAGGTGCAGGCCTGAACCCTGCTCCCCACACTGAGATGGAGCAAGTTTTCTTTGTATCAGGAATGTTTTTCCCAGCGCTGCTGAGTTTCCCTCATGCTCTCTGTTTCCTCACAGACCTCCCACAGCCCTGTGTGCCAAGACGTGCTGAAGTTCATCAGTCAGTGGTGCGGGGGACTGCCCAGCACCAGCTTCTCCTTTCAGTAACTGGTAGAGTTAGTAGGTTCCATCCCTCATTAAAGTCTTGCAAGTAATTGAGACCACTGTATTCTTTGATCAAGTTCACCCCCAACACTAGCCTAGCGCCCCTTTCCCCCAAAAGGAATCATAATCAAGTAGAAGTTCTTTTATTACAACTGTTATTATATAAACATATCCTAGGGGTCAGTGGAAGATCCTTGTGGACTGAGCCTCCGGATCAGCACCTGCTTGACAGAAGGAAGAGCCTGCGTCAGAGGGCCAGCAGCATAGCAAAGGACCCAACCCAGTTCTAAAAGTGGTCCCTGCCACCACCCTTTCCCAGGCCACAATCCTCCTGGCCCATTACCTGTCCCTAAACCCAACTTTTCTGTGACATCCAGATTTCTCAAGTTTGATCCAGTAGCTGCTCATTTTCCTGCCTCTTACATTTAGGAAGTTCAAGCTCTGTCAGTTCCTCCAGCTACAGAAGAGGGTGGGGTTAGTACTCCAGCCCTGTATATAATTCAGCATCTTTACAACACATTCTGTGTTGAATGAACCCTTCCTGTGCATCTTCCTTACCTGCTCCTGTAGCCCTTCCTTCCTACAGGGCCCAACCCCACGTAGGGTGAGCGCAGCCACACAGCAGTAACCAGAGAGAGCAGCCTCAGCTACAGACGTGAGCAAAGAAGGGATCCAGAGAGCCAAGGCTGTATCCTAAAAGGTGAAGGAAGGGGGGGAGGCTAGAGGAAGCAGGGCAGGAGTGGCAAGTAGGGGCGATTAAAGGGCAGGACCAAGGCTTTGTGGACCGCAAAAAGGCTGGGAAGAGAATGGACTCACATAGATTCTTGTGGGGTCAAAGGGGCAGTCAGTGTGTCCAGACCCCTGGTCCAGTGGTAACAAAGGATCCAGCAGTCCTGGATGGCAGTCAGCAATAAGACGGCGGCCGCCGTTGGCCACAGTGAATGACACAGCAAGGAGGAGGCCCAGGGAGCAGGCAGCAGACAAGAGAAGGTTCACCAGAGCTAGTGCCAGCAGGGCCCAGTGCTGGCAGGGGCAGAAGGTCAGGGTGAGCAGCCTGGGGGTGGCTGCCTCACCCACTGACATCTGGGGCTCCTCCTCCCACCAGAGATGAAGCTGAGTCAGCCCCCATTTCCCTGACTCCTGGCCTCCTCATTAAAGCTCCAGAAATCCCCTCACCAGTCGTGGGCGAAGAAGGTTCCTGGATGCCAAAAGGGCCACAAGTCCCACGGAAACGCTCTGGAAGAAACAAAACCTGAGACCCGCGCCGCTCTCCAGCGCCAACCGCCCGCCCCACGGCCCGGCCCCGCTCACCAGCAGCCCGGAGCCCACGGAGATGACATTGGCGGTGGTGTACTCCGAGGTGACGGCGCCGCGGGGATTAGCCACGTGCCGCAGGACGGTGCCGTGCAGCACGGCCCCCAGCAGCAGGTTCACGTGGCCCACCAGGATCAGCGCCAGGCCCACATGCATGAGCCGCCGGGGCCCCCTGGCCGCGTCTGCAAAGCACGGGGGGAGGGGCAGGCCTGAGCGGGAGAGGAGGCGGCGGAGGCCGCTCGCTACCGCCCCCAGTGGGCCACGGGGCGTAGGGCGGGTCCAGGGTGGGCGCTCAGGGGAGAACACGACCAGAGGGGCCAGAAATTACCGAAAACGCAGAGGCGGCAGCGGCACTTCATCGGTCCCTCAGCGCTGGCTGCGGGGCAGCTCTACCTGCCCTGGCCCCGCCCTCGCTCCCCGGCCAGTTCCGCTCTCCCTGAGCACCTGCAGCCCAACCTCCGCGCCCCCTGGCGGGAGAGGCAGGCGCACGCGCCCACACACACCCACACCCATTCTCACACACACACACCCACACGACGCGCGCGTAGCAAAAAGTAGACTTTTATTACAGCAGCAACTGAGGCGAATCGAATGGCCCCCCGGGGCCACCCCTGCAGCACCACCCTTCTCTCCCGCCCCGTCCGCCCCAGCGGGATTGTAGAATTCAGCTCCCAGCGCCCGTGGGCTTCCTTTCCACACAGGCTGGGCGGGAGCCAGCAGATCAGCTACTAGCCCCCGACTAGAAGGCGGCTGCTGAGAAGGCCCAGGCCCACATCTGTGCAAAACAAGTAAACAAAGTGCAGAGGGATGGAAGAGAAGGGGAGGGGTGGGTAGGGTGATGCTCAGAACCAGGGAGCCCCAAAGCCCTCCTGAATAATAAAGGAGAGAGGGGCTTCACAGGGTAATACTGTCTGGGGGGAAGGGCAGGAAGGCTGTAGCACATGTCGTGACAGCCACAGCTCAGATTAGGGGCTGGGCCCGAGTGAGCTCTAAGAGGAGACGGTGACAGCGGCTGAGTTGAGGGTGCTGTTCCTGGCAAAGTTGAACTTGCTCAGGGTCTCCTCCAGCAGAGAAGTCAGTCGGGTCTGGTCCGCCTAAAGGGGAGGAGCTCAGTGAGACCAGGCAGAGGAGAGCGGGGGCAGCGGGGGCGGCTGGAGGCAGAAACCTCACCTCGCTAATGAAGCCCAGCTGCACCAGCTCCGCCGCCAACTCGGGGATGTTCTCATCTGACAGAGAAACAGGAGAGGGTGAGTACAGTGCAACAGTGAGGGGCACAGGGCCCTTGGAACAGCCCCAGTCAGGTGACCCTGGCTGGGAAAGAATGACACAAGCAAAACTGTCAGATCCACCCTCCAATTTTAGGGGCGACGATATTCATTCTACGTGAGTCATTGTGTTACTGCCCTGTCACCTTCCCCACCCCTGAATATGTCCCTCACAGATAAGGCTCATAGACTCTCCATCCTCTGAGGGAAAGGAGAGACTCACTTGGCATCAGGTCACAGCTCAGGTGCCGGTTCAGTTTGTCCTCCAGCTTCAGCAGAAGCGTCAGCTGGAGAGTAGGACAGTCAGAAAATGAGGCTCCCCTTCCCCACCCTCTGGCCACCCAGCCCTATGCAGCCCTGGCCCTGAGCCTTACATGGTGTTTGACGCCCTCCTCCACCGACTCGATGTTGCACTGCATCAGCACCACCTAGGGAGAGGGGACAGAGAGGGTCACTAGAGTAGGGACCAGTGAGCAAAAAACCCCCAAGAGCTGGAAGCCCTTCCAGCCCACGGGACATGAACGCCAGGGAGCAGAAACACATTCTTCTCTCTAAAGGACAAAGCCTTATCTGAGATGTCCTCTCTCCCTTCCACCACGACCACAGAGACAGCCACACCCACACAGCCCCACCTTGCGGGTCTCCACCTCAGCAGGTTCAGGTGTTGGAGTCTTGACAGAAGGCGGCACCACAGGTGATGTCACCTCCTCCTGCTGTGGCTGCTGGGGCCGAGGCAGCCCAAAGGCCGTCAGGGGATATATCCCGTTCCTAAGTGGAGATCAGACAGGTCGGATGGGCTCCGTGGATGTCTTAGGACACCCACCCCTGCCTCCTCAAGGAAGCTTTTTTTCTCATTCTTCTCTTACCTGACATCTTCAAGGAATTTATCCAGTTCCAGAGCTGGTGACTGAGAGTACCTGGAGAAGAAAAGAGAAGGAAGATGGAAGGAAGGAAACGAGCAAAAACAGCAGATTCGACCACTCCCAGAGAATGGACAGTTGACAGAAACCTCAGGGTGGGAGTGACCAATCTGTCCCTTTCAGAACCTCTCAGTTAGTTACTCACAACGTCTGAACTGGTTCTCTTCCTGGTCCTGCAGGGATTTCAGCCAGTACAGCACTGGTATCCATGTTTTTGGTGATCTCCTCCAGAGCATTCTCTGGGATCATGTCTGGAGGGCATGATGGAATGGGAAGTTATGGAAGGATAGTTCAGATTAATATCACAGAAGGCACAAGGGGTCCTGGGGGAGGGTGGGGGAGGAACGGAAAGAATCCCTTTGGAAGTAGAAGAGGAAAGGAAACATGCCAGTGAGAGTTACAAGGCTCCAGACTAGAAAAAAAAATTCCTAGGAGGGTCAAGAGGACTCACGCTGGTGTCCCACAATGCAGTGGGCAGCAAGGAGTTTGAGCGAGGGCACTTCAAACAGTGCTGGGTGGAACAGAAGTTCTCTGGCTGTTGGTCTGCGAGCGGGTTCAGACTGCAGGCACTTTTGAATGAACTCCTAGGAAAGGGAACAAGGGAGTGGAGCAGGCATCTGGCAAGCACTCCACTGTGTCCGTCTCTCTCTCTCACATTATATCTAGCACAAGCTGTGTGCATACTAGGTGCTCAGCACTGGCTGAGGGAACAAATTGCTAATGTTTTTGAAAGGACTTCAAAAACTGTAAGGTATTATATGAAAGGTATCATTCACTGTCTTTCTGGTTTTCATTATTTTTCTGCTCCCCGACCGCAAGCTTTTTTTCTTTACTGTTCAAACGTATGATTTCTTTTTTCTTATTTTCTATCTCTCTGCTTTATTAGCCCACTCACTGCCTACCTTCTCCAACCCTCACCAAATTTACCTCTCTCTTTCCAAACTCACCCACTGTGGTCAATAATAGTTACCATCTTTATATTTCCCAAGCCTACCACCACAATTTCCTTTGTCCACTACATCACTTATTAAATTCACTGGATTTCCCCATGCTCCCTCTAACCCCACAGGTCCCATGGCAGTTAACCTGCCAGCAAGGCCATATGCCTCATCTCTTACTTGAACAGTCCACCCTGACACTGAACTAGAAACTTGTTCCACACTAGCCTCAAGACTTCCCACTAATCTTCCTTCTTTTCTCTCCTCCCCCACCCTTTTTATTGAATTTTTGAATTGTATTTTATTTTTTTATATAGCAGGTTCTTATTAGTTATCCATTTTATACATATTATCCTCCTCCATTTTATAAGCATCTAATGAGTTACAAACTAACCTTGTTTGGACCTTCCTGTCCAGACCCTACTTACTATAGTCTACTTCCTGATTCATAACCCCTATATCCTTTTTTTTTTTTTTTAATTTTTCCATTTTTTGTTTTGTGCTTTATTTGGTTGTGCCAGGTCTTTGTTGCGGCATGTGAACTCTTAGTTGCGGCATGCATGTGGGATCTAGTTCCCTGACCAGGGATCGAAGCCAGGCCCCCTGCATTGGGAGCGCAGAATCTTAACCACTGCACCACCAGGGAAGTCCCCCCCTATATCCTTTAAATCTTAGCTCATTTATTTCAGGGCACTTTCCCTAACTAAAACTATATAAATATAAAACCCCAAATGACTGGTTTGAGTAATTCAAACTGATTGATTTGTTCAAAAATATCAAGATGGTTGGGACTTCCCTGGTGGTCCAGTGGCTAAGGCTCCACGCTCCCAATGCAGGGAGCCCGGGTTTGATCCCTGGTCAGGGAACTAGATCCCACAGGCCACAACAAAGAGTTCGCGTGCCGCAACTAAAGATCCCGCATGACGCAACGAAGATCCTGCAAGCGGCAATCAAGATTCCCACGTGCCGAAACTAAGACCCGGCACAGCCAAATAAATAAATAATAAATAAATAAATAAATAAAAGGGTGTGTGCCAATAATGGTCATGCCTGTATGAAAGAAAAATACATACCAAGATGGTTGTCTGACAGTGTATACCAATTACCTGAGGTAACCATCAAATTAGTTTGCCTCCACATAGACAAACCTAAGTTAACACACAAACTTTAGTCCCAATATTACCCATCTTCTTCTTTTTTTTTTTTTTTGCAGTACGCGGGCCTCTCACTGTTGTGGCCTCTCCCATTGCAGAGCACAGGCTCCGGACGCGCAGGCTCAGAGGCCATGGCTCACGGGCCCAGCCGCTCCGCGGCATGTGGGATCCTCCCGGACCGGGGCACAAACCCGCGTCCCCTGCATCAGCAGGCGGACTCCCAACCACTGCGCCACCAGGGAAGCCCCCCAATATTACCCATCTTAAACCCCTAACCTGTGAGAGAGAGAGAAAGAGAGAGAGAGAGAGAGAATGTGTGTGTGTATGTGTGTGTGTGTGTGTCTGTGTACCAAAAACACCTAGGGAAATGTTCACCTAGGGAAATGTGCCCTTTCTGCTTTATGTTTTCTTACTCTTAGAAGAGAGCATATTTCCAGTCGGTAAAAGGAAGAAAAATCTGAAGACATTTCAAAGTCTATTAAGGAGGAGTGATCCTGAAGATTCTTACCCTCTGTAATGGGTCTTCTAGAAGCTGAATGGCACTGCTGATGGCTTCCTGTGGCACATATGAGGACTCTCCATTGCCCTGAATCTCTAGCACTGCCATCTGCAGTGAGGGGTAATAAAAAGGAAAAATAGAGACCTAAGAACCTCAGTGCTCCCACAATCACTCCCTCAAGACCAGTACCTTACTTGTCAACCTTCCATTTCCCTTCTATCTTCTAATTTGACCCCTTTCCACTACCCACCCTTCTGGTCTCCTCACCTCCAGTGCACACATGCCAAAGGAGTAGATGTCTACTGCCGTTGTCACATTAGTGACTTCTAGGGAAAACAGAGAAGCTTTGGTGAATCAGAGGATCCGGGCAGGGCATGGCAGAGGTGTCTTAAAACTTTTTGCATGCCAGCAGAGAAGGACGAAAGTTTCAGTTATGTTACCTCCAACCCTCTGGTTGGAAAGTGGAAAACCTGGGGTATGGGCACAGGGCAGAGAAACTGGGATGCCTCACCTCCATATTCTGGTGCAAAGAAGTGGAGATTCTTCTGCTCTTCCCGACAAGTCTTCACATGATTGTTGATAGTGTCAGGAGCCACTGGGAGTAGGGGAGATACCCACAATCTGACCACCATCAACAAAGCACAGCCTCACTCCAGAGAGAGGCCCCCAAAAGACAAATTCTCTCCTGAAGTCTCTAACCCTCAACAGGCACAAACCTATCCCTTTCCCATCATGAACTCCAGACTAAACATGAACACCACCTATCTCCCCTTTCTCAGGTCTACTGCTTCTCATCTAAGGTCCCTAACTGAATAGCAGCAAAGGCTCCACACTAAACTAACAGGTACACAGGGGCTTTGGGCTGGCAAGGAACAACACAGTCTAAGGAAAAACTCACTTGTGACCTGCTTACCTTCCCCAAAGCCCAGGTACACCTAACCCCAGATCACATGAAAACGTTTGGTCTAGTTCTTTCATCCACCCTGCAAACAATGTAAAAACATAGGCAGCCATTCCTAATCTGTAACAATTAAGAGACGTCAGAAACTTGGATGAAGATGGATAAGAAGGATTAACATACAACCAAGTAGACAGCCTCCTTCTTACCCACCTGAAACTCAAAAACAGCTCAAAACTGAACCAATACCCTTAAATCAGTTTCACTTGTAATCCACAAAAATTTTTAGACCCCTGCTCTACTCTCTTATTCCTCAACATTGCCTGCCACAGAGCTGAACAAGGAACCAGGGCCAGGCCCAATTTGGACTCACTCGGATCATAAACAATGACTACAAGTCACAGAGAGTCTGGGAGCACAGTATGACTTAGGGAACCAGCCTGATGATGAGGGCGATTAAGAATCCTGGACGTAAGTGGCCAGCCAGGCAGAATCCACAGGAAACAAGCAGGTTATGGAAAAGCAAGCCTGGGGAGGGCTGGTAGCACAGAAGCCAAGCAGGCATAATTAGGCAGGGGAACGGTGTTTGCTCCCACGACTGCATGCACTGGGCAGCCGCAAAGGGGAGCAGAGGAAGCACAAACAGTGCCCCAAGTAGGGCAGAGGGAGCTCTCACCATTAGCAAAAATCCTATGAAAGACTGTTGGGAACAGAGCAGCCCGTAAGCGGGAGGGAGGAAAACAGAGAAAAGTTGTGAGCGATGGAGCAGCCAAGCCCCAGACAAATGGACACACAAACAACACACAGACACGGCACACAGAAATGTTAAACACTGCACACGTATACACAGCAAATGAAAGCACTCACAGCAGGCACAGCCTGGAACCTCCTTTGGTAGGGTCTGGCCCCAGGGGCTCAAATCATACCTTACACCCAACCCTTGCCCTTTCCCAACCTCCTGTCAAGATCTCTGTATTAACCCCAGTTTCCCTCCAAAAAGGTACAAGATTAGACCCTACGCCTTCTCCACTAATTGACTGGCCTCTCTCTATAAATTACCCCTAGTAAGGTCCTTTCTCTTATCACCAGCCCACACCTCAAAACTTTGCTCTGTCTTCCCCCATTCCTTTCATCTTACCCCCATAGTTCCCAAATTCCCGAGGCTCCCCTGCCCAGAACCTCTCCCTCCCCTCACCAGAGCCAATCTTGATGAGTCCGTTGTGCTGGATGAAGATGGTGTCACAGGTCAGGTTCCCATGGATGATGGGGGGGTCACAGGAGTGCAGATAGCTGTGGGGGCACTGGGCTGTTAGAGGGGCCACTGGGAAATTAAGGCAGGGGGATCCCAAGGGCTAAGAGGAGCAAGGGCCTGGTCTCCTGCTGGTCACCACAAAGATAATACCCACACTCTGAATCTCCATTATGCCTGATGAGTTAAATAGCTGGATAAGCGCTAGGAGAAAGAGGTGGGAGACAGCATCGTGGTCAATGCATTAGGATGAACCCTTTGAAAGACCGATAGGGGCCTAATCTTGAAGTATATGACTCAAAGGAAGTGGGGAGAGGCAGAAAAGAACAGCAGAGTAGTGCCCTGAAATCTGTTTGGAGGAACTAAATCAGGAATAAATATGGGAAAGACACTAACCAGATCCTACTTACCTTAGGGCAGAGAGGATTTGTGTGCACCAACGCTTCCAAGCCTGGAACAGAGTTTGATCCAAGGGTCAGCAGTAATCCCCTCTCTTAACCCTCCAACCAGTTCCCTCCATCCCATCCTGATCAGCTTCATAATTAACATAATCTTTTTTAAACCTCCAAAGCAGCCTAAAGCTTTTTCTGCTCTCCCTCCATACCTTTTCATTCATAGTCTTGTGGTTCTTTTTGGTCTTCTTCAGAAATTGCTTAAGACTCCCAGATGACATGTATTCTGTGATAAAAATGACCTGGAAAGGCAAAGCACACAAATAAAGCCTTATAGTAGAAATGATCCCTTATCTAGGTAACACATATACAACATATACATAAAATTTGGAAGCCTGGTGTTTTTCTTAATAAAGTATCTCTCTTTTGTTCTTAGCATCACTTCCTTAGATTTAATAGGGCAATGAAAACTACTGAGCAATATGAGCTACGGGAAGGAAGAAACAAAAATTCACTGATTTCTGTCCCGACTATAACCAGACAAAAGGCACAGGTGGTGGTCATAGCCCTACTCTCATCTCAACAGCAGCTGATTCCAGCTCTGTTTCAAAACTATCTTTTTCTGAATATAGAATGAACAGTAAGTGTAGCTAGTCTCTTTGCAGTAAGCTCAGGAAAAAGTTCTTACCCTGGCCTTGTTCTCTTTAATGTCAGCCCAATACTTGTGAAACTTGACAATGTTGAGATGTTCCAACTGAATCAGATTATCAAACACAGCACGGACCTTTTCCTGGAAGCAGGGGAGACATTGGGATAACAGGGTTCAGAAAGCATTATCATCCTAAAAAGCCATTCCCTATCCCCCCTAGAAATGATCTAACCCCAATGTACTCTTCTCATAGTAGCTTCCCAACCCCAATTCCTCTTTACACCAGCATTCTAACATCCCACAGGCTGCATTCTTTCACCATTACTTACCTCCTGCAGCTTGTAGTTCTTTCGCTCAGAGAACTGTACCTCATTCCACACAACCTCTACACCCTCCTCTGTATCCATGGCCAGGTATGCACTGTCAATACCCGGTACATTCCGCTGATTCACCTGAGAAGAAATTCAAATGAAAGGGAATTAAAAAGTTACCACACGAAGTCTCTATTTTAACACTCCATACGATCATCTTCTCCCAGGCTCTGAGCTGTTAAAGTCTGGTCTGCCCCGCTGAGGCTCTGCCCCTCCACTTTTCACCTCTTAGTTTCACTCTCAAGAGTAACACTACTACTACCGCACCTCTTCTCGCCTCTTCTGCCAGCGCCCACAGGGTGACTCTTCCAAGATCTCAGACTCATCTTCACTTTCCTCTTCTTCCTCTGGGGAAGCTGCTGAGGTCGTGGAGGTCACAGGAGGTGACACTGACGTCAGGCCAGGAGCTGAGGATGAGGATTCTACCTTTGGGTCTGAGCCACTGCTGAGTACTGTCTGGGACTCCCCCTCCGACATGCTGGAACAAACACTCAGGCCTGCATTGGTTGGAGCAAGGGTGATGGGAGAAGGCAGAGAGGGTTAGGATAGATTCTATAAAGATTCCATCCTAATACCCTAATCTGGGGTTAAAAAGAAAACAAAACATATACCTCCCTTGTTTCCTTTAAATCCAAAATCAGAATTAGTCCTGTATGAACCCTAAACATTAACTACTCTCCTAGTCTAGAGAAGGGGAGCTATCTTGGTTGAAGATGACTCACCCAGGTCAGTGAGCAACTGAAGTATATTTTAAGCTTAAAGAATATGCTGCTGGGCTTCCCTGGTGGCGCAGTGGTTGAGAGTCCACCTGCCGATGCAGGGGATGCAGGTTCATGCCCCGGTCTGGGAAGATCCCACATGCCGCGGAGCGGCTGGGCCTGTGAGCCATGGCCGCTGAGCCTGAGTGTCCAGAGCCTGTGCTCCGT